ATATATATATATATATATATATATATATATATATATATATCTCTGTGTGTGTATGTATGTGTGTGTAGGTACTTTACTATATATAAGGAGTCCCCGGTGGCGCAGTGGGTTAAACCCTTGTGCCGGCAGGACTGAAGACTGACAGATCGGAGGTTCAAATCCAGGGAGAGCACGGATGAGCTTCCTCTGTCAGCTCTAGCTCCCCATGCGGGGACATGAGAGAAGCCTCCCAACAAGGATGGTAAAACATCAAAACATCCAAGCGTCCCCTGGGCAATGTCCTTGCAGACAGCCAATTCTCTCACACCAGAAGCGACTTGCAGTTTCTCAAGTCGCTCCTTACACTATACACACACAAATATATGAGAGATTAGTTTCATATTTGACTTCACTGCCAAACAGAACTAGGACGACTTCATTAGCACAAGCCACCTTGGTGGAAGCATGAGAGTTGAAGTCCTACAAGCTGTGAGAGCTGTTCAGCAGTGGAACTCTCTGCTCCAGAGTATGGTGAAGGCTCCTTCTTTGGAAGCTTTTAAGCAGAGGCTGGATGGCCATCTGTCGGGGTTGCTTTGGATGCGATTTTCCTGCTTCTTGGCAGAATGGGGTTGGACTGGATGGCCCACGAGGTCTCTTCTAATTCCATGATAAGCGATACCAGCCGTGCATGGGGATGTTCCCATTTTACAGAATGGGGAAACTGAGGCTGGGAGTCAGCGGCTGCAGCCCACAGAAAGTCAAGGCCCTTTGGCCTCCCTTTTGCTGTCACAAAACAGAGAGGCGCTTCCTGTTCTCTGGAGCGAAGCCAGCGCCTCGCCCAAGGCCGTGCAAGGAGCCCCATGCCTCCCAAAGCAAGCATTCATGCTTCACAATCTACACAAGAGAGAAAAAAGGAGCCTGTCTGACTCCCTCCCACTTCTCTTTTCCAAGCCAGGACGACTGGGAAGAGTCTATCCAAGGGTGCATCCACACTGTACAATTAATCCGATTTGACACCACTTAAACCACCCTATGTCAATTATATAGTAATTGTAGTTTCACAAGTCTTGGAGCCTTCTCCAACAAGAGTGCGAAGTACCAGAATTTGGAGATTGAATTCATGGGGTGCGTCTACATTGTACAATTAATCTGGTTTGACACCACTTAAACCACCCTGTCTCAATTATATAGTAATTGTAGTTTCACAAGTTTTGGGGCCTTCTCTAACAAAGAGTGCAAACTATCAGAATTCGGAGATCCGAACTCATGGGGTGTGTCTACACTGTCCAATTAATCCGGTTTGACACCCCTTAAACCACCCTCTCAAGTATATGGAATCCTGATAGTTGTAGTTTCATAAGTGTTGAAGCCTTCTCTTCCAAAGAGTGCGGACTACCAGAATTTGGAGATCCGAACTCATGGGGTGCGTCTACACTGCAGAACTAATCTGGTTTGACACCACTTAAACCACCCTGTCTCAATTATATAGTAGTTGTAGTTTCACAAGTTTTGGAGCCTTCTCTAACAAAGAGTGCGAACTACCAGAATTCAGAGATCGAACTCATGGAGTGTGTCTACACTGTACAATTAATCCGGTTTGACACCACTTAAACTACCCTGTCTCAATTATATAGTAGTTGTAGTGTCATGAGTTTTGGAGCCTTCTCCGACAAAGAGAGCAAACTACCAGAATTCGGGGATCCGAACTCATGGAGTGTGTCTACACTGTACATACAATTAATCCGGTTTGACACCACTTAAATCATCCTGTCTCAATTACATAGTAATTGTAGTTTCACGAGTTTTGGAGCCTTCTCTAACAAAGAGTGCAAACTATCAGAATTCGGAGATCTGAACTCATGGAGTGTGTCTACATTGTACATACAATTCATCTGGTTTGACACCACTTAAACCACCCTGTCTCAATTATACAGTAGTTGTAGTTTCACAAGTTTTGGGGCCTTCTCTTCCAAAGAGTGCGAACTACCAGAATTCGGAGATCCGAACTCATGGGGTGTGTCTACACTGTACAATTAATCCGGTTTGACACCACTTAAACAACCCTGTCTCAATTATATAGTAATTGTAGTTTCACAAATTTTGGAGCCTTCTGTAACAAAGAGTGCGAACTACCAGAATTTGGAGATCCGAATTCATGGGGTGCGTCTACACTGCAGAACTAATCCGGTTTGACACCACTTAAACACCCTCTGAATTACATGGAATCCTGGTAGTTGTACTTTCACAAGTTTTGGAGCCTTCTCTTCCAAAGAATGTGAACTACCAGAATTCCATCACACAATCTAGTTCAAGTGGCGCCAAACCGCTTTAATTTTCTAATGTAGACAGTTTTGGGAATCTGAAACCTAATCAAAGTTTGAAGGTCACGCTCAAGTTCGCAGAGACTCGTAACGCTCCGAGACGGGCTTCCCGGAAACAGGAAACATTCATTTCGAATCTGGAATTTAATTTGGAGCCAGCAAAGTTCAATTACACACTGGAAAGAAAAGAAGTCGCACAAGTTGTGGGTGAGTCTCACAACTGGAATTTCTCCTCTCCACCCACTTCACCTGTTTGCGCTTGCATTTCGGGCGGTTTTTAGATCTTTCCGGGACAAAATCCTGGGCAAATTACACACACACACACACACACACATATATATACATATACATACATACATATATTACTTATATACATACATATACATACACACACACATATTACATATATATATATATATATTTATTTGAAGGGTTTTTTTCCCCTCCCCAAAAGTGTCTCTTTTAGGCAAAAGTTGAACAAGGATGTAGGTGAACTACATCTCCCTTAAATCACCGTCAATTCATCCCAAATCCCTCCAGTATCTTCTGTTGGTCATGGGGGTCTCTGTATGGGAAGTCTGGCCCAATTCTATCGTTGGTGGGGTTCACAATGCTCTTAAATTGTAGGTGAACTATAAATTCCTGCAACTACAACTCCCAAATGTCAAGGTCTATTTCCCCCAAACTCCACCAGTGTCTACATTTGGGTGTATTGAGTGCTTGTGCCAAGTTTGGTCCAGATCCACCATTGTTTGAGTTCACAGTGCTCTCTGGATGTAGGTGAACTACAACTCTCAAACACAAGGTCAAAGCCCACCAAACCCTTCCAGTACTTTCTGTAGGTCATGGGAGTTCTGAGTGCCAAGTTTGGTCCAAATCCACCGTTGGGTGAGTTCAGAATGCTCTTTGATTGTAGGTGAACTATAAATCCCAGCAACTACAACTCCCAAATGACAAAATCAACTCCACTTCCCAACCCCACCAGTATTCAAATTTGGGGAGTTTGTGCCAAATTTGGTCCGGTGAACTGCATCAATTCTACAGTGTCCACATTCAGGTGTACTGAGTATTCTTGCCAAGTTTGGTCCACATCCATCATTGTTTGAGTCCAAAGTGCTCTCTGGATGTGGGTGAACTACAACTCTCAAACACAAGGTCAAAGCCCACCAAATCCCTCCAGTACTTTCTATTGATCATGGGAGTCTCTGTATGGGAAGTCTTGCCCAATTCTATCATTGGTGGAGTTCAGAATGCTCTTTGATTGTAGGCGAACTATAAATCCCAGCAACTACAACTCCCAAATGACAAAATCAACTCCCACTCCCAACCACGCCAGTATTCAAATTTGGGCAGTTTGTGCCAAATTTGGTCAGGTGGATGCTCTTCGATAGTAGGTGGACTATAAACCCTGGCAACAACAACTCCCAAATGACAAATCAATCCCTCCCCAAACTCACCAGTATTCATGATCATAGGCGAACTATAAATCCCAGCAACTACAACTCCCAAATGACAAATCAATCCCTCCCCAAATCTACTAGTATTCAAATTTGGGTGTATCGGGTATGAAATGAATGAAAATACATCCTGCCTATCAGATATTTACATGACGATTCATAACAGTAGCCAAATTAATTGTGAATTAGTGAAAATAATGTTATGGTTGGGGGTCACCACAAATGAGGAACCGTATTAAGGGGTCGCGGCATTTGGAAGGTTGAGAAACACTGCAATTGAAGGACAGGTGAGAAAACATCAATGCAAAATTCGCTCGCACGAGGAGCAAAACTAACTATGAAGTAGTGAAAATAATTTTATGGTTGGGGGTCACCACAACACGAGGAACTCTATTAAGGGGTCGCGGCATTAGGAAGGTTGAGAAACACTGCAATTGAAGGACAGGTGAGAAAACATGAAGCCTCGTGCAAAATGCAAAATTCGCTCGCACGAGGAGCAAAACTAATTATGAAGTAGTGAAAATAATTTTATGGTTGGGGGTCACCACAGCACGAGGAACTATTAAGGGGTCGCAGCATTAGGAAGGTTGAGAAACACTGCAATAGAAGGACAGGTACGAAAACATGAAGCCTCGTGCAAAATCCAAAATTCGCTCGCACAAGGAGCAAAACTAATTATGAAGTAGTGAAAATAATTTTATGGTTGGGGGTCACCACAACACGAGGAACCGTATTAAGGAGTTGCGGCATTAGGAAGGTTAGGACAGGTGAGAAAACATCAAGCCTCGTGCAAAATGCATAATTTGCTCGCACGAGGAGCAAAACTAATTATGAAGTAGTGAAAATAATTTTATGGTTGGGGGTCACCACAACACGAGGAACCGTATTAAGGGGTCACGGCATTAGGAAGGTTAGGGCAGGTGAGAAAACATCAAGCCTTGTGCAAAATGCAAAATTTGCTTGCACGAGGAGCAAAACTAAATGCACAACTTTTCGTTTTGTTTTGGGTTTTTTTCCCCCTCCAAACAACTATTTCAAAATGGTCGCTGTGCAAAAGTTCCTTCCCTTCTTTGGCAGCTCTGTACGGAACGAGAGAGTGAAAACACACTCACACACACACAACGCAAGGCCTCGAAATAGAGATCTGGGTGGAAAGAGTGAATTCATAGATTCATACAAAGGTCCTCCTCATTGCAGACGGCAGCAAAGCGAGAACTCAATTGGGTCAAGGAGAAGGACAAACCTCGTTGGAGAAATGGGACGAGACACGATGTCAAGAAGGTCTACGACTGGTCTCAAGAGAAATGGGACGAGACACGATGTCAAGAAGGTCTACGACGGGTATCAATCCCGATTTCCGGCCCCAAATAAGTTTCCAAAGTCTTGCAAAGGCAAGGGTGACTCCCAGATCCGGTCTCGAAACTAGAAAGGAACTTTTTTGCAAATCTGAAGTCTAGTAATTTTCCAAAAGCAAGTCTCGCTCGTTTCGAATCAAGTCTTCCAATCGAGACTAAGCCTTCCCCGAACCCGTTCGCAAGACCCACCTCTGGCAACACGCGTCCCGGAGAAGCCGATCCTGTCTAAACGGCAGTTTTTTAATTCAAACCGATGCAGATCCCACCCCTGCGAGACGAGGCGGAGACGCGATCGCCTCCTCTGGAGGAGAGGGAAAATTAATAATAATAGGATTGGGCGCATCTACACTGTTGACTTAACACACTTTTACGCCACTTTGCATGGAATCGAAGGTGTTAGATACTTCTACCAGGTCTGGGCAAACTTGGGCCCTCCAGGTGTTTTGGACTTCAACTCCCATCATTCCTAACAGCCGGTAGGCTGTTAGGAATGATGGGAGTTGGAGTCCAAAACACCTAGAGGGCCCAAGTTTGCCCAGGCCTGGTCTTACAGTGGTATCAAACTGTGTTAAGTCAGCAGTGTAGATGCACCAAGGCAAAAAATGGAGAGGGGGATTTATATTCTTGATTCCTCTCTAAAACAGGTTCAAGCTGAGATGCAAAATCCCAGATACTCATAACATTGAGCCAAGGCATCTAAAGTGGAATCAAACTGTGTTAACTGTGCAGTGTAGACGCGCCCCTAAGGCAAAGCTTTGGGATTAGCTTTCTTGATTCATCTCTTTCTCAAGTCATCTCCAAAACAGGTTCAAGCTGAGCTACAAAACCCAAGGAAATACATAACATTGAGCCATGGAATTTAAACTGGAATCAAACTGTATTAACTGTACAGTGTAGCCGCGCCCCTAAGGAAAAGCTTTTCTCAATTCATCTCTAAAATACAATTTTCTCGATTCATCTCTAAAATACAAGGTTCAAGCAGAGCTACAAAACCCAAGACAATACATGACATTGAGCCATAGCATTTAAAGTGGAAAAAAACTGTGTTAACTGTGCAGTGTAGACACCCCCCCCCCGCAGGAAAAGCTTTGGGGTCAATTTTCTCAATTCATCTCTAAAATAGGTTCAAGCTGAGCTACAAAACCCAAGAAAATACATAACATCGAGCCATAGAATTTAAAGTGGAATCAAACTGTGTTAAATGTACAGTGTAGACACACCCCTAAGTAAGGCAAAGCTTTGGAGTCTATTTTCTCGATTCATCTCCAAAATAGGTTCACGCTGAGCTACAAAACCCAAGAAAATACATAACACGCTAAGTTACAAAACCTAAGAAAACCATAACACTGAGCCACAGCATTTAAAGTGGAATCAAACTGTGTTAACTGTACAGTGTAGACACACCCTTAAGGCAAAACTTTGGGGTCGGTTCTCTCTATTCATCTCCAAAATAGATTCATGCACAATTTCTGCAAATCAGTGTAAATTCCACCCTGTTGGGTTAATATCTACCGTTTTATGGGAGTTGTAGTTTTACAAGGTCTTTAGCCAAATGGTGTATCCGCACTGTAGAATGAATGAATGAATGAATGAATGAATGAATGAATGAATGATGTTTGAACCGACTTGAAACTGTTAATGGGCCTTCCGGGAGTTGTAGTTTGGTGAGGCAAAAATAATACATGGTGCATGTTCTATACTGTCGAGTTAACACAGTTTGATGCCACTTTAAACTCACACAGCTCAAAGCTATGAAATTATGGGAGTTGTAATTCCACAAGGCCTTCGCCATTCAAAAGAACCAAGTCCTCACCAAACTACAACTCCCAGAACGCCCATTCAAAGTTTCAAGCTGGTTCAAACTGCATTCATTCATTCTCCAGTGCGGACACACCGTTTGGCTAAAGACCTTGTAAAACTACAAACTACCATAAAAGTGGGCTGAAGACCTAGTAAAACTACAACTCCCATAAAGTGGGCTAAAGAACTTGTTCCCATAAAGAGGGCTGAAGACCTTGTAAAACTACAAACTCCCATAAAGTGGGCTGAAGACCTCGTAAAACTACAAATTCCCTTAGAGTGGGCTAAAGACCTTGTTAAACTACAATTTCCATAAAGTGGACTGAAGACTTTGTAAAACTACAAACTTCCATAAGGTGGGCTAAAGACCTCGTAAAACTACAACTCCCATAAAGTGGGCTGAAGACCTTGTAAAACTACAAACTCCCATAAAGTGGGCTGAAGACCTTGTAAAACTACAAACTCCCATAAAGTGGGCTGAAGACCTCGTGAAACTACAAACTCCCATAAAGCGGGCTGAAGACCTTGTGAAACTGCAACTAAAGACCTGGTAAAACTACAACTCCTGTAAAGTGGACTAGAAGACCTTGTGAAACTACAACTCCCATAAAGTGGGCTAAAGACCTTGTGACACTGCAACTAAAGACCTTGTAAAACTACAACTCCCATAAAGCGGGCTAAAGACCTCGTAAAACTACAAACTCTCATAAAGTGGGCTAAAGACCTTGTAAAACTACAACTCACATAGAGTGGGCTGAAGACCTTGTAAATCTACAAACTTCCATAAAGTGGGCTGAAGACCTCGTGAAACTACAACTCCTATAAAGTGAGACCTCGTAAAACTAAAACTACAACTCCTGTAAAGTGGACTAGAAGACCTTGTGAAACTACAAACTCCCATAAAGTGGGCTAAAGACCTTGTGACACTGCAACTAAAGACCTTGTAAAATTACAACTCCCATAAAGCGGGCTGAAGACCTCGTAAAACTACAAACTCCCATAGAGTGGGCTGAAGACTTTGTAAAACTACAAACTTCCATAAGGCAGGCTAAAGACCTCATAAAACTACAACTCCCATAAAGTGGACTGAAGACCTTGTAAAACTACAACTCCTATAAAAGTGAGACCTTATAAAACTACAAACTCTCATAAAGTGGGCTAGAAGACCTTGTGAAACTACAACAACCGGTAGGCTGTTAGGAATTGTGGGAGTTGTAGTCCAAAACACCTGGAGGGCCCAAGTTGGCCCCAGGCCTGATTGAGACAGAAGCAAAACTATAACTCACATATAGATAGATAGATAGATAGATAGATAGATAGATAGATATAAACAACTCACCTTAGAAGAAAGGGAAAAGAATATATATATATATATTTTAAAAAATAATTAAAAATGCAAAATAATTAGTTAAGGGGGGGGAAGTTTTCTCTCCTTCTTCTCCTCCTCCTCCTCCTCCTTCCCCCCTCCTTTTCCTTTCAGGGGTGGGAGGGGGTCCTTGTCTCCTCCAAATCTGTTGGGAAGAAAAGTTTCTTTTTTCCTCTTCTCTCTTCCCCCCCTCCTGCTGACGTCACAATCGGCGGGCGCTTTTGATGATCACGCGCGTTCGCGGCTGCTTCCTTCCACGTTCCGCGGGGCGGGGGCTCTTCCTCTCTTTCTCTTCCTCCAAAGTCACCCCAAAAGAGAGCCTTCTTCCTCCTTTTCCCTGCAAGGCTTTGCTTTGCTTTGCTTTGCTTTCCTCCCTCGCCCTTCCAGGCTGAGAGGCTGCTTCTCCTCTTTGCTGCGGTTCTGTCCCGGAATAGGAAAGGGCGCGGACTCCAAGACTCTTTCTCCTCCCTGCAGCCTTGCGGGCGGCACTGCGCATGCGCCCGCCGGCCTCTTAAAGGGCCAGTACTCCCTTCTTTTTCTTTCTTTTCCCTCCACACCCACTCGCTGCCGTTTTTTTGCCCACTTCCTATAGCATGTTAAAGTGGAATCAAACTGTGTTAACTCTACAGTGGAGACGCAGCCTTAAGGCAAAGCTTTAGGGTCAATTTTAGCCCACTTTCCTTTATATAGAAGTTACTTTTCTCTTTAGGGTAGAAGTTACTTTTTGTCTTTAGGACTCCACTAGAGTAAAAGCGGTATCAAACTGTGTTAACTTTGCAGTGTAGATGCACCTAGGGTTGAGACCTATTATTTGCCCTCTGCAATGTAGATGAGACCTATTTGCCCACTTTCCTATATATACAAGTTACTTTTCTCTTTAGGGTAGAAGTTACTTTTCTCTTTAAGGTAGAAGTTACTTTTCTCTTTAGTGTAGAAGTTACTTTTAAGGTAGAAGTTACTTTTCTCTTTAAGGTAGACGTTACGTTTCTCTTTAGGGTAGAAGTTACTTTTCTCTTTAAGGTAGAAGTTACTTTTCTCTTTAGACTCCATTAGAGTTAAAGTGGTATCAAATTGTGTTAACTCTGCAGTGTAGACGCACCTAGGGTAAGTCCTATTTCTCCACTTCCTATTATAGAAGTTACTTTTCTCTTTAAGGTAGAAGTTACTTTTCTCTTTAGGGTAGAAGTTACTTTTCTCTTTAGAAGTTACTTTTTTCTTTAGGACTCCATTAGAATTCTTTAAGATAGAAGTTACTTTTCTCTTTAGAAGTTACTTTTTTCTTTAGGACTCGATGAGAGTTAAAGCGGTATCAAACCGTGTTAACTCTGCAGTGTAGATGTACCTAGGGTAAGTCCTATTTCTCCACTTCCTATATATAGAAGTTACTTTTCTCTTTAGGGTAGAAGTTACTTCTTTTCTTTAGGGCGGGCCTCTCCCAGGATTGCATCAAAGCGGTATCAAACTGTGTTAAGTCTGCAGTGTAGATGCACCTGGGGTGAGACCTATTTGCCCACTTCCTATATATAGAAGTTACTTTTCTCTTTAAGGTAGAAGTTACTTTTTTCTTTAGGACTTCATTAGCGTTAAAGCGGTCTAAAACCGTGTTAACTCTGCAGTGTAGATGCACCTAGGGTGAGACCTATTTTCCCACTTCCTATTATAGAAGTTACTTTTCTCTTTAAGGTAGAAGTTACTTTCCTCTTTAGGGCACAAGTTGCTTTTCTCTTTAAGGTAGAAGTTACTTTTCTCTTTAAGGTAGAAGTTACTCTTCTCTTTAAGGTAGAAGTTACTTTTCTCTTTAGGGCACAAGTTACTTTTCTCTTTAAGGTAGAAGTTACTTTTCTCTTTAAGGTAGAAGTCACTCTTCTCTTTAAGGTAGAAGTTACTTTTCTCTTTTAGCCCCTCTTCCTATTACCTTCCACTTTCCCCAGCATAACAGGGTAGAAGTTACTTTTCTCTTTAGGGCAGAAGTTACTTTTCTCTTTAGGGTAAAAGTTACTTTTTCT